TGCATGAAAAGTTTAGCAACTAATTGATGCTTGAAGATTCCCAATTGGAAACCGATTTTCAAACCTGAAGAATGAGCATTTCTACAGCAAGAACAATTAATAAATTTATGAAAAAATGAGTAATTAAAATAGATATAAATTAATGTTTTTAGAAATTATTTTTAAAACTTAGGTTATAACAGTAAATGCCACCAGTATATCTTGTAGCCAAAACAGGTGACATGGGAACAGACCCCGGATAGTCAAGAGAGGAAATTTACCAATGAAGCTGACAAAATTTGGAGCGAATTAGAAAAAAATTATTAACCAAGTTAGATTTTTCATTAATGATTGGTTTTTAATAATATATCATTTGATTCTGCGTAATTCCATATGTATTGTTTTACTTTGTAGAGTTTTCATTATTTTAAGTAACCAGTTACTTATAATTTCATATTTACTATCACTTCTCGTCACAAATATATTTAAGGGTGCCCCTTGGCGAAAATTGGCAATTTTTGGCTATTGGCCAGCAAGGCACAATTTCAAGATGGGTACTACGTAAATAACAAGTCAAAGAACTGCACAAACACGGTGTCCATGTACATATCGATCTATTTTCACTTAAAAAAAAAAATCAGAGAATTGCACAAACTCGGCATTGCGCACTCCCTTTGTCCATACACACATCGATCTATTTTGACTTAAAAAAATAGGAGAATAATGACGTCATATAATGTTAAAACAAAGTTACTCATCACCAAAATTGAACAAAATTTGTAGTTAATCGAATCTCAATAAACTGCTTTTTAAATCACACAATGAAATAACATAAAAAGGGAAATACACATTATCGCATATACGCAAAAAAAAAAAAAAAAAAAAAAAAAAAAAAAAAAAAAAAAAAAATATCGACACTAATGTTTGGTCAAAAACTCAATTTTTTGTCACCTTTCAGTCAAAATTAAAATTTTTGTGGCTCTTGCTTCATATTTATTACAATTTGATGTTCCTTGTTTAAACACTGAATCTTATTTCATTTAATATCAGTCTTTGAACTTGGGAAGAAGGAGAGGAAGAAAATCCGTGTTTCTTGAATAAGACAGTTTTTTTCTGCAAAATATTTCACTCTCATCAATTCAGGCCAAGACTGGATTAGACTCGCCGTTTTATTCATTTAAATAATAGTATTAAATTTCGTGAGATTCTTTCCCATACTTTTTTAGTTACTAAGGGAAATCTATCAATATTCATTGCATATACTTATACATACCTAATGGCGACTTTGACAGAAAATAAATGAAGTAGATCCACAACAGAAGTTTGCCTAAGCTGAATATTTAACAAAAAGCAAGTTAAAAAAATCGTTTTTGCGCATTTTTGTCGAATACTTTCTAAAAACCTTATTAAAATATTAAGAAAAATTCTAACAAACTTATAGCAGAAAGAAATCTGAAGTTTAGTTTTTATTAAAACTAGGAAAAAATAACATATTGTAACTAATTGCGGCCAGATTCACAAATAACAGTTTTTAAAGCTTTTCTTGTTATTAGATGCAATGTAAAACGTCATTATGCAATAAAACATTTATAAACACTATGATACGAGGGCTATCCAGAAAGTAGATTACGTTTTGGAATAAAAAAATAAACAAAGTATAGGAAACAAAATTTTATTATATACAGATGAAAGCCACACTCAAATACTACTTTTTACATAGTCACCATACAAATTAAGGCATTTATCGTAGCGATGTACGAGCTTGGAAATTCCTTCGTCGAAAAAATTCGGCCCGCCGCGCCTTCAACCACTTCGTTACCTCTTCTTGCAGCTGTGCGTCGTCATCAAAACGCTGCATAGCCAGCCACTTCTTCATTGCTGGGAATAGGTGGAAGGTCGCTCGGTGCCAGGTCGGGACTGTACGGCGGATGAGGAAACAACTCCCACTTAAAAGATTCAAGAACTTTACGAGTGACATTTGCCGTGTGGGGCCGGGCGTTGTCGTGAATCAACAAGATCTTAGAGCTCAACATTCCTCTGCGCTTGTTTTGAATTGCTCTTCTGAGTTTTTGGAGAGTTTGGCAATACCTTTGAGAGTTTATTGTAGTGCCTCTTTCCAGGAAGTCCACCAAAATTACACCTTTTCTGTCCCAAAAAACAGTCGCCATCATCTTCCTTGCCGACATTGTTTGCATGCATTTCTTGGGTTTTTGGGGAGAACTTGTGTGCCCCCACTGCATTGATTGCAATTTCGTTTCACAGTTCACATGTTTCACCATGTTTCGTCACCAGTAACGATGCGATCGAGTAAAGAGTCACCATCCTTATGGTAAGCGTCCAAAAAGTTCAACGCTGCAGCCATTCGCTGATTTTTGTGGTCCTCTGTCAAGATTTTTGGAATCCATCTTGCACAAAACTTGTGGTAACCAAGCTTTTCGCTGATGATTTCGTGCAACAAACTTCGCGAAATTTGTGGAAAACTCAAAGAAAGTTCCGTTATTGTGAAATTTCGATTTTCACGGACTTTAGCATCGACTTTTTCGAGAAGTTCGGCGGTCACTATGCTGGGTCTCCCACTTCGATCTTCGTCGTGAACATTGGTTCGGCCATTTTGAAATCTTATGACCCACTGACGCACTCCACCTTCAGTGATAATGTTGTCCCCATACACTTCACGAAGCTGGCCGATAGATTTCTATCGGTTTACAGTTTTTTGCAGTCAGAAACCTTATTACTGAGCGCACCTCGCAGCTCGCGGGATTTTCAATTAACGCAGACATTTCAAACCGTCACAGTATCTGAACGGAGCACAGCACGAACCTCTCACTAGCACGGCTAGATGCAGACTGAGCTGCGCAACGCTCTGACCCCAAGATGGCCGCGCTAGCCCCGCCCCTAGCGGACACAGACGGAAACGTAATCTACTTCCTGGATGGCCCTCGTACATGAGATAATGAAAATTCATTTTAAGCTTTAAGGACAAGTCAGTAAAGCGCAGTCTATTTTAACAAATCATTCATTTAGTATTTGAAAGTTTTTAAACAAAAGTATACAAACCTCTGTAAATATATTATATAAGGTTACGTAAGATGGATGCAAATTTGAGAAAGATGTATTTATCGCAAAACATCCTACTTACATATGACTGTAATGTTTTCCAAATTATGCCATATACTATGTTTAAGTGACTAATAAAATTAAAAACATTTAAAAAATTACAATGGAATAATTTATAACAGTTTTTAAGCTAATAAATTTAAGAAAATGTGCTTTTAAAATTAGCTTTAAAAGAAGAACATGCTTTTATTAGAATCTTATTATCTTCTTATGTGATTAACTTCTTCATCGTCTGGTTCATGGAAAACGCACTAACCGCAGCAGTAGTTTGAGACCTGACAAAAGCTTTTGATCGAGTCTGGATTAAGAAGCTGATCATAAAGCTCTTTGATACCTTTAAATTTGTTGAGAAAGCACTTGCCTGAGTTTAAGACTTTCTGAGAGGTAGATTTTTCTTTGTCGTCTTTAATGAATCCTTTTCTAGAGACTAAAGACAAAGTAAGGGTCTGCCTTAAGGCTCTGCGATGAGTCCCATATTATATTATTATCATTATGTGTGGATTTGGAAGGGCTTGAGGCAACTTTAGAAAAGTATCATTGTATTAAAGTATCAGCATTTTTGTTGAGCACTTCATTAAAACTTCAATAAAAATTTAAACTAATGATAATATTTAAATATTACAAACAAACCATTTAAGCCCTGAAGATGAAGTAACAAACATTTTCTATCATAAGTGATTAATTAGTGATGCTCCTTTCGGATAAAAGAGGCTACATTCCTAGGGTAATTAGAATGTCAGCAGTCCCTTCAGCTGTTGGTATGCACAATATATTACCTAATCCACACAGAAAATGGAAATCCAGTAGAAAGAGAAAATTAAGTTTTCCCGAAATAATAGGAACGATAACGGAAATAAAAATAATCACTTAGCTATACTTGGCATTTTTGTTAAATTCACAATTTCCGAAATTTTCATATTACACCAGAAATAATTTAAAGAATTATTTGCTTATGATATGTGTGTAGAAGTCAGGAGAGATCATATTTCATATTAAATTCCTAAGACTTAATTCTTTTTCTGAATCATTCCTTTTTTTCTTAACTCTCTTTGTCACACTTTATTATTATTTTTATTGTTTCATGCTACAATTTTATATCATATGAGGTGATCTTCAATTTTTTCTTTTGCATTTATGTGTCATCATGTTATGTATGATTCCACGAAAATTCATTAAATTATAAGTCATAGTCTCTGAGAAATCCGTGAATTTATGCATGTAAACATAATTTTGGACATGAGTGTAATTTAAAGAATTATTTGCTTATGACAATACTGACGAGATCCTTTTTGTCAAACTGTTAGCGAATTTGCTGAGGCCAACCGAACCGTAAGATAAACTGCATGTCTTCTTGACACGACTAAGAGATTCCTTCTATAACGCGTCGACAGAAAATAATGTTTCATTCAAGATAAGGATCTACAGAAGGATGTGTGCGTGTGTGTGTGCGTTGGAGAAGAGTTTACATTGAATGACGTACATAGTAAAAATGCTAGGGGGGGAACACTTAGTTTCAATTTTTGATGCTGCACGAACATGAAAGAAGAGGTTTCCAGTATTTACATATCAGGTGCCTCAGCACACTGTATCCACGAGAAAAATAAACTATCTAACATATATCAAAGTGGTGGGCTACGCTAAAGAGCATTTTAATGATCTTAATAAATTCGTCAACGCTTAAGTAGAAAACCTAAAAAACACTAATAAACGCGAACTGCAAAGAAAATTTTGACACCAACCCTCTGTTTCCCGGTCGGAACCAAAAACGTCTTTTAGCGTCAACCTCCTAATCCAGAAAACGGTTTTTTTTTAAAAAAAGTTCTTTAAAAGTGCGAAGCTCAGTTAAATAAATTAACTCTAATGACGTAAAAAGTCGAAGGTGGATTCTAAATCGCGAAATGGCGTGTGACCGCTGAGAAGGAGAAACCGGAGTCTTTCGCTTCTCGTTCGGGGATACTGTTGACGGCCTTTTGGCGAGACGGTGGCAGATAAGTTCCTTGTTTTAGTTTCATGCTGTGCAACTATTATGGCACTTCACTGCAATACTGAAAGCATCTTCGCTAGTGAACCTCTGGATTTCGGTAGGAAAAGTTATTTATTCATTCTTTCGCAAACCTCCGCAAATTACATCACAGTTTTTAAAAATACCTAGCAGCAATCAATCTAGAACAAAACTGTAGGTTTTTAATCTAAATTTGACATCTTGCAAAATTTTAAAAGAAAAGACAATTTTTTAGGCAGCTTAACAAAGTTATTTTGGAAACAAAGTAGAAACAAAGCAGAATTTGCAGAAAATGTTTTAATAGTTCGTAATTAACTTTGGCCAATATTCCACAATCTTTTGACACGACTGGTATTATTCGACATGAAACTAAAGAAGTTAATTAATAAACTTTTCGGATTGTTTCAAAATACCTTTTTTAAAAAAAATAAATGCTTTTAAATCCCTGCGAGCACTTGAAGGAATTAGTAAGAATTTTATATATATATATGTTCAGTATGAAGTACTTTCAGAAGCTCCATGTCAGATAAATTTTTTTATCTGTATTGATAATCTGTTAAGAATATTGTTGACAGTCTAAATTTAATAATTTAGATTGGTAACAATCTAAATTTAAAAAAAAACCTAATAATAGTACCTTTATATTTCCTCATTAATTTAGGCGTGCAAAAATTGACTGAAAGGAATTACAAATCATTTACAACTACCGGAGTAAAAATTGATAAAGGAATCGGTTATTTCTTAACTCTGATTTAATTTTTTATCAGTAATTACAAACATAAGAAATTTTTTTAATTGTAATTTTCCTGATGTATTTGGAAGTTTAATGACAGTTGCTGAAAATACTGTTTATTTTCCTAATTATTATTATTTTCATTATGTCAGTTCAATAATATTCCTGTTATGCATCCCAAATGACGCGTTCGTAGAAGTGAAATTTATATATTTTAAAAGAATCGTGATTTTAACTACCGTTTAAGTTAAGACACAATAACACGCCGAACAAATACTAATTCAGAAGTCAAACAACAACGCTGATTTTTGTTGTTTGACTTCTAAATTAGTACCGTTTAAGTATTTAGAGAGGAATAAATATTTTAATAATGCTAAAAAATTTAAAAATGTAAAGCGAAAATAATTCTTCACGGAAACTACATACCTGCGAGAAAGTATACTGAATTTCTTGAAAATGTTGATGCAGTAATAAACACAGTCCTGTTTATAATACACCGAAATAAAATGCTATTTTTCTAACCTTCTAATTATCTTCTGAGACAGAAATGAATCCCAAACGGTAACTATAAACAAAAATATTTACTGCATCTTTTACCACTCATCCTGCAACAGCTAAGATATACAGCTAATCAACTTCTTACTTGAATGAATACTGTGAAATTTCTTAAGACAGCTTCTCTAAAATGGCCACCTTTGTAAGTGACCAATACTACATTTGTACTGATAGTTGTAATATTACAGTAAACTTCCAATTAATTGGGGTAATGCCGATGACAGCGTCCATTGTTAAAAGTCATGGTTAATCCAATAATACATATTAGACTTTACAATTAAAGCACAGGAAATGTCAGTTAAAAAAATAGGAAAAAGAAATAGCCTATATTATAATTAACAGGAATTACTATTAACATTTTACCTCATTTCTGAGCAGTTTAATTTTGAGAATAATTTTAGTTATTCAGATTTAATCATCATTCAAAGCAAGAACAATATACTTCAGAACACTGTTTTCTTTTATATTACGACTGGAGACAATGGAAGTCAGAAGCTGAACACTTAATTTACCTTTACATACTGCCGTGGATAAAAATCATTCCTAAATACTGTTACGTCTCACACCCTTTCTTCTCATTTAAAAATTTCTCTTAGAATGTTTGATTTGTTCTGATAGTTTGTGATAATAATTTTTACATCGTTAGCAGCAAACAGATTTGACACTTTTTTAATACAAGGGCCAATTAATTTGCAACCCGCTAATCGGCACCCTGTTTATCTTGAATGTACTGTAATTTCTTAGATGATCATTCTCTAACCTGAGGGAGATCAAATATTTATAAAAACGATCATTAAAATTTCCATTTGCGATAAATTATTCATTCATTTTGAAAAGGGTATATTTTCAAAAGTATTATGCGTACACATATGAAAAATGTATGAAAAGAACCACAAACTCAGCAAGTTTTTTTCACTATTTCAACAAGCTCCTCCGATAAGTGGAGGGTTGCTTCGTGGCTGAATGTCATCTTGATTCCTGCATGTTGACGCAAAAATCTAGTCGGCGGGCGTAATCCTCTGGTTTTAATTGTTGCAATAGCTACACATGGTATGGTTTGAAATGCAACCTTTGACGCAAAATCTTCCAAGCAGTTTTTTGTGGTATTTCGAACATCTGGTCAATTGACATCGTCTGGACGTGTGTCTTGTCACCAAAGTGGAACATACTGAATATTTGTAGAGAGTGTATAAACTTGGTGAGTTTGTGGTCCTTTTCATATATCTTTCATGTGTTTACGTGAAATACTTTTGAAAATACAGCCTTTTAAAAACGAATGAATCATTTATGCTACCTATTGTACACGAAAAATGGGGAAAATGGTAAAGATTTAAATTTCTAATTTTTACTGTAACAGCAGAATTCTTTTTATGGGGAACAATTGCTAATTAGCATGTATTCGTAATTAATTTTACAGTTTTACGTCGGGGGTAATTTATTATATACGACAGAGCAGGTATCTATGATACAATATTCTATCAAAGACTCATCACAATCTTTAATAAGGTTTTTTTACTACTAATTTTATCCTTTCCTGTTTTATTGGTCCTACACAAACAATATTAGTGCTTCAGCGTTTTCAAAAACAATGTAATTCTCAAATGAAAGAAACATATCAATGTAAAATTTAAAATTAGTCATGAAAAGTAATTTATTGGTTTCAAAATCTTCGCCAAACCTTAATTTGACAAAGATTTTGAAGGAACCTTTGTCAATTTTGAAGGCGATCAGACACAGGTGCCTCTTTTAGAAGAATAAAAAAAGACTCCCCCCCCAAATGTTTTTGTTCAAATGTTGTATAGTTTTCAACGTGACTTCTTCTCGTTAGAATCTTCCTAAATCTCTGTTGCATATTGCCGTTTTACTTTCAGAGTAATAGTCTCTTCTTCTAAGGCTCCTACTGACAATAGATTCTTATTATCAGATTTATCTATTAATATACACGTATATCATTTTTAAATAATATTAAGGTAAATTATACAGGTTATTGTTTGAGATAATTACTGTATGATAAAACTAGTATCTGATATTTATATTAGATAAACGTCCAAAGATATTTGATTGTTCCCAAAGCCTTATTAATTTTCCGATTTACAAAAAGTTTCCATTTTTCTTTGATATTAGCACTGTCACAGAAAAAATAGTAATTCAGTCCTTAATGCACTTTGCAAGTATATTTGTGTCTCTAAAAGTTTCCTCCATCTTCTTAGAATGCTTTTCTCTGAACATAAAGAAGAACAAGATTTCCTAGTAATGCTTTGAAAATTTCCCTTGCGTAGGGCCAAACTTTATTGAGACATATGATCGTAGTTTCACAATTCCCTAATTAAGAATATCCTCAGATCTTCTCATAATAGTAATCTCTCGCTGTTATATTATATTATAACAAGACTTAAGTACGCAATTCTCCAATCTTCGGTGCAAACGAACTTCATGGTGATTCATACTTTTGCAAGGTATTCAACAGATCTAGTCATGACGAAGAGCAATTCAATGACACATTATTTGTTTTCACATTTTTTAACGTTTCAGCAGAATCACTCAATTATAAATTTTTCTTGTGTTTTCAAATTCCTTTCAACTACAGAATTCAACAAATAAAGTTTTCAAAACTCATCAGGTTTATTACATACTTCTCAATCTGTTTTATAGCACCAGTTTCATTTCCTATACTTAAAATTTTTCTTTTCTTTGTCCTTCCTCCATGCTCTTGTAGTCTAAGATTACAACCGACTATTTTTTCACTTATTGGTATGCCAAGAAAAGTAGTGCTATTTAGATTTACCCGTGTCATTGTTAATAGTGGTCAGGGCAGCTGTGTTTTTCCTTAGGATTAGTTCTCTTCACTAATATTCCTTGAACTGTACTTAGTCTGTATTTATTATTGGTGCATGTAACAAAATAAAACATTTGTAGTTTTTATATATGGTATGTTTAACATACGTATGCTATGTTATGTTTAACATAATGTATGTTATGTTATGTTCAAAAAAGTGAACCGGACGGCCTTTCATTGAAACTGAATTTAGTAATGAGATTAATGGGATCGGATAGAATAGCAAAGTTACATAGGGAGTTCTTTACTGTGGAGTTTGCTTATCGAATTATATAAAGAATACATTAGTTCGGAAATCTTCATTAGGCCAACATTTCAAAACTTAAAGCGACAATTCAAAGAGATACTAACATTCTTCTGTCTTGCGTGGAGCATTTCTTTAAGACTGGATATGTTACGGTAAAAGTAATAAACTGGTGGTTATATGTAATAACCAGTAATTATGCATAATTACCACTAAATTTGGTAAATATGATAAATTTTTGAAAATTTATCAAAGTAACCGGTTTGTTTGCATAATTCCCAACTCGTAATGGTAAATGTGATAAATATCATGACTGATTGGTTCAGTAGAATAGAGTGCAGTTTTTTTTTTTTTTTTTTTTTTTTTTGTGCTTTTTCTTGAGTAGTTACTACTCAGAAAGATATATTTTCGTTGGACACTATAGAATAGGAGATCAAGAATTACAATATTTTATATTTTACAATTAAAAAGTCAATAAATGCTTATATTAAGTCACATACATTTATTAAACCTGAACGAAATTTGAATAAGGGACTGACAGATGTTGTGAAATGAAAAAAATACAATTTACATGAACTTGTAAAAAACAGTTGCCCATAAAAAACAAACTGCATTTACATATGAAAGACAAACTAGGCCCATATTCTAGAGAAAAAGAAACTTTTTTTCAAATGACTTAAATGCTATTACTACAAATTACTAAATATTTTA